GCGATCCTCTATTTTTTATTGGGATTTTCCCACGGGAACTCGCCGATCGTTCCGCGACTAATTGAGGAAACACCTTGTTCACGGAAGTTGTTCACGGCTACGTACGTACGTGTTCTATTTGTCGTTTGGAATTTAAAATCCTCGTTTGCCGATTGATAAATTAGAAATTAATGTGTGTTTTCTATCTCGAACGACTGGCTGGAATCTTTCCACTGATCGATGAAACATGTATAAACGTATTTATCATGGTTAATCGTTAGTTACTGATCCGAATGTTTATACGTTTGCGGAAAAGTTGGAACGTGAATATAATTGGACATAATGTGCGGAATACATGAAACATTTAACACGTTTAAACGTTTTGCAATAGGATAAATCTCGAGACTTGACATTTTATTTCTACACGTGGAGGAAAACATTTGCGTAAGTAGAAGCTATAATTAGAAATCAGTCGTAACCGAGAAACAAATATTTCTAGAACATTTCTAGCTTTCCAGTTATAAGTTAATTAATTACTTAACAACACAAATATGTACAATCCCGTGAAATTGATTGTACAAATTATATAAGTAATTCAATAACTTATTAAATCAATTCATTTAATTATTCGTCAAGTTAATTCATTTAATAATCAAATTAATGATTTATTAAATCAATTTATTAAGTTGATTATTAAATTAAACTAAAACGGATACAAGGGAATAGGAATTTACGTAAATATATAGCAGTCTAGTTGTGACAATTATTATTGAAAGAAATTTTTTATTTAAGTTTATGGATTTAAATAAAATATTTTATCATGGGCTTTATATTAATACTTTTTATATTTTATATCATTAATATTACGATTTGTGTGTCCATGAATTTGTGTTATTTTGTGAAACAATTCTCATGATTTACATTTAAATATTTAAGTCCAATTTAATTTTCAGTTCAATTGGTTGAATTTCAATTAATAATTGCACTATATGGAATACATTTTTTCTTTTTTTTTAATATCGTAATAATCTTCTTACTTTTTCGAACAATTTGGAATTTTCAAATGAAGGAACTTTCTAATTTTCCAGTTTGTTTAAATAAACTAGATAGTAAGTTAGATTAAAGATAGTTCGTTATTTTTTAATTAAAGTGTTAATTTTAAAAAGTCCTAAAATCTCTGTTCACAGATGGGCACTATACAACAACAGTCGGTGTTAAAAGGCCGACAAATTAACAACGCCGGCAAGGAGAAGGATTTGCTTCATAAATTATTCAGTCAGGCGGCTGCAAATTATTCCAACCAACTGGCAATCCGTTTTGAGGGTACTTATTATTGACATTATTAATAGTAAATAGAAGAAGAAGTACAGAAAAGAAACAGCTGTAAAAAAAAAAAAGAACAGCTGCGTGATACGAACAGGTTCCCGAGAAAAGAAAAAAAAAACAAATCTCGATCTACTGATAAAATCATACTGGAAAATTCTATAGAGTCAGAGAGAGGATAATTTCTCGCGAACTGACCTTCGCATCATTATGAAATACAACATTGTAAATAATCAGAAATAGACAGCAGATTTTATTTTTGTTTCTTTTTGAATGTATAAAATATTTGGTATAGGAGAAATAATTTTATTATTGAGGATTTGTCAATGTCCTTTAGATTTTGTTTCGAAATCCTCGAACTGCACTCATTGTCAGATTATTTTCTTTGGCACAATGCCACACGAAGAATTGTTCGACTGTGTTCTTGAACAATCTCGTTTTGTATCTTATGACTTAGAAATCAAAACAGTTTTTTTTTTTTTTT